CTGTAGACTGTGGATTTAAGAATCTATAGGGCTCTGTGAAATATAGTAAAGGATCAAATTGTCATCAGTTGCAACAAGTTCTCAATTTTATTCTGAACTCAATGCAGTGATTTTATCGAAATTACGATATTATTTATAGGTTAACTGTCGATACAAAATATCGGGACTGTATCGCCCATCACTAGTCCACACAGTATTTTCAAAACTTTGAGCGCCCTTTGTAACTAAGGTATGATCATGAAATATGATGTAATAAAGTAAATAGTAACATAGGGGAAACTTAAAATTTAGTTTTTACGCTTTGTTCATCCCAAATTTCTCTGGTCCAAAGGTATAGACATAGTTTAAAAGTTTTTGGTTAGCACCTTTTACTCGAAAACGCGATCGCAGAAGTTGTTGGAAGACATCGACGCAGAGTTTCACTCGGATACGATTCATCATCAACGGTAGCCTGTGCGATCAACGTGTATGATCCATCATCCAGTAACCGTTTACGATCCTCACCGTGGAAATCCCGATCCGCGATGCTATTCTCGTACCGGCCATGTGCCCGACTGTTGCGTTTACATTCGAAACTACACGGACTCCGGAGCCGAAACGTTTCCATCGTGTACGGTGGATTCTCTACGGGTCATTAAGACACGGGGAAGATTTATTCGTTCGATCAATTCCAATGTCGTGTTACATTTATAATTATATGCGGTCATTCCACGAGAAATCGGATACTTTTCGAAGTAACATTACGGATTTTGTTGAAACTTTGATATGTTGTAGTCTTTACTGATATATACATATATACATATGTTGAAGAATTTTTGAAAATTGTTTAAATTTGTTATTTTACCTCAACAGTTATGATTTATTGAAAGAAGGTTGACACTATATTTCAATTAGGTGTAAAATCAGCAAATTTAAATATTTTTTTAAATTCTTCGTAATACGTTTATGATATTACTGAAGACTATAATATATCCAAGTTTCAACAAAATCCGAAATGTTACTCCAAAAAGTGTCCAATTTCGCATGGAATGACCCTACGGCGATCATGGGGGGTGGAGGGGGGGGGGGGGGGGGGGGGGGGGGTCAAGAATGTCCCGGTATATACGTGTATCAAAAACGTGTATCGTTCGTAGAAAGTTTATTGATATTGACGCCCACTCTTCTGTAATTCGACTGTAATTAAATAATTTATGGGTCTACCACCGTGAATCGTCTCATAAATAATAAACGACAAGTATCGGGCCAAGTCACTTTCGCGCGCAGTTAATTTATAGCGATTCGCAATGAAACCAGTCGCGACGTTACGTAATCCAGGCGGAGCAGGCACACGTTCGACAGCATAATAATTTCTTGACTACGGCAGTAATTATTAGTGTACGACACGGGATACTGGATTTCTACAATACGATTCGCGCGTACGATGAAGACGGAACACGTAAACGGTTACACGAAAACGATAATAATAACGATTCAGGGACATTCTTCACTTGAACGGATTGATCGATTTGTCTTTATCCAAGGATTCAATGTTCAGTGGCTTTAGTGGTATCAGTAGATTTCAGTGGATTCAGCGGATCAAATTGAAATTCCTATGACAATTCGTTCCAGCGAGAATTTTATGTCCCCTTATTTCCGCAGCGTTGATTCTATCCACGGTCAACTTCCGGCTGCCATGCTAGTTTTCTGTCCATAGTCTATAGCGAATCTGTTGGAAACCGATGCGACCACCGCTTCCGACGCGGAAATTGGAACGGGGACGCGATCGAATCGATCGAAGCGCGTGGCTTCTCGCCGGATACACGCCCCCAAGTAAACATACACGACTTCGATTCTATCGCGACGTCGAGTAGTGGTGGCGATCGTGAAGGGTTGAAGAGGGGGTTCGGGAATGTCTCCAAATGTAGATCACAAACGTGTATCGTTCGTAGAAAGTGTACTGATATTGACGCCACTCGTCTGTAATTCGATTGTAATTAAACAATTTATGGATCTACCCCCGTGAATCGTCTCATAAATAATAAACAACGATCTCTACACCCATAGTTTTGGCCGATAACTGTACACCAAATTCTCTCCAGCTTCTACTCGAAAATAGTGGCACAGGGAAAGGGCCTCCCACTATGCTCCTACCACATGGTATAGGGAATTATTGAAATTTATGCGAAATTAACATTCGATTTAACATTTATTTCAGTACTTGATATTTCAATTGATTTATTTACTAATTTATCAAATGCTGGGCCCTTCCCCTTCGCCACTTTTTCTCCTAGCGGAAGCCGAGTTTGCTCGTAAGGGTACAGTAACGTCTCGGAACTTTATCGCGGCTTATCATTTGTGGGTCACCTGACGCAATCGCGTCCTCCAGGTAGCCAGAAAAATAAATCGTGTAGGAGGAGAAGCGCGGGCGGCCGGGTAGGCTCTCTCGGAGGGACGATTACCATTAATTTATATAATCTCGCATCGTTGCCGACGTCCTCAATCAAGATTATCCTCGCGCCGGAATGAGAGTTCCCAGTCATCCATGCGTGCCCTATCCGCGCGCTGAAACGACTGGGTGTCTCGTATCCCGCCGCGATATATCAGCCCGCGCGCCATGTCTGTCTAGGGTTTCTTCTCACGCGGCAACGGCAGCAGCGAAGAAGAAGAAGAAACGTAAAAATCCACGTCCTGTGTTTCACCGGTGACCTCCGCGCGTGTGACCCGTTTTTATGCATATGGAATACACTGACAGCAACGACAATCTATAAAGGGTGTCCCAAAATAGTTGTAAATCCTTGAAAGGATGCTTCCTGGGGTGATTTGGAACAACTTTTTCCTTAGCGGAAAAGTTCTCCGAGGCTTTGTTAACGAGATACAGTGGACTCTAACTATATTGCCACTGAACATATTGCCACGCAAGGCACTTCCCCTTCACGCGTACTTTCGAGCACACGAATTTGCTCATTTCTAAAAAAAAATGGAGCAAGCAATCACAGTTTGAATTGCTACTGTATAAAAATTTCAATTTCATGAAGATTCGCAGACCGATAACAAGAAGGAACCACCTTCTTTATTCAGTTTCACCTACTGTGGACTCAGAAGCTTAACCTTTTTGGTTTGTAGGGAAGTGACTTCGGGGGTCTTATCGCGTGCTGCTCCGTTTCAACACTCCATAATCCGATCGTTATCGTGTACCTTATCGTCTCCCAAGTTTCCCCAATCCCTGCATTCGTTCCGACCTGTATTTATCGAACAAACATTTCCGTGTCGTTTTAGGCTGTTTGCAGAAACATGTCTTCTCACGGATCGCACTTTCATCCGAGGATGGAACGTTCGACCGAAGCTAATGGCGCATCTCTGACTCTCGGTTATCTCCGGTGCAACGGATAGCCCATCCCTATCTCCTTTCTTTTTTTTACACCGTCCCCGTTAGCCACCGTACATGATTTTCATTTCCAACGTTTATCTGGGAAATTTCACGGATCCCGAGGGTGAAAGATCAGAAAGCAGTAGGTCCCCGTTCATTCATCTCTGCCTTAGTGCAATCGACGTTACACAGGTCGACAAAAGAATTCCAATCGAAAGATCCAGCGGATTCTTGGATTGTCTAGAGAGCCCCGAGCGAGTCGACGCTGGAGAACCAGGGGAATCGTGATAGCGAGAACGCGAGGCTGCAATTTTAATCGTCCGCGGAGTATCTCTTCGGGTCAGGTATGTGGCGAGAGCGTTTTGTAAGGCAGCTGGTGAACGTTAGGCGCCCCGTGATAACAGCGGTTAAAAATAACTGTCGCGGTACGATCGATAGCCCCGGCTATCAGTTAAGTCGATCCATTGTTCAAAGGGAGAGAAAAGACGGAAAAGGGCGGTGATCGTTCCCACAACGGAACTGTTTTGTCGTCTCCTAACGGAGTGTGTCCAATTGAGGAAGAGGCATACCATCGAATAAATTGTTTTCTTGGTTCGCTTAATGTTATTGCGACTTTTCCTACGACCGAGTTAGGAGACTTGAGGATCCCCTGAAAATCAACTGGCACGTGTGTAATTACAGAAACTCTAGATAAACGTATATCGTCGTATTAACTGAATTTTAAAAAGGATTAAACGATCCCTGAGTAAAAGAAACAATCACGAAGAAGAAAGGTACGGAATCCCAGAGACAGCATATACGCGTGTTCGAGTACATACAACGGATGCTCGAGTACAAAACCGTGCACCCAAAGGTGCATCCACCTGCGAGTCACGCGAGTGCATCCCGGTAAAGTTGCTTCGATAAAAAAGTTAACGGGCCGCGTTAAAGGATTCTGTAACGACCCATCGCGGCCGAGAGGTCGCGGGTAGCATTATCTGAAGGGGGGAAGAGGAAGACCGCGGGGTCCCCCGTATACGTCTCTTCTTATTGCGTTAATTAATTACGGATCTTAGTTGCCGGCGGTCCCATTAGAACTGAAAAATAATTGAACTGGATTCCAGCGTGTCAATGTCGCGTCCTGGGGACCGGGTGTACCGGTCCCTTCTCGCCATACGCGCGGCTCTCTCCCATTTTGGTCGGTTGCTCGTCAGATGGGCAACAAGGTTCCCCCTACCCCCGACGCCCACCGAATACCGATATGACATAATCAATAAGGCGCTCGTTAAACGGGGGATCGAGCTCGAAGAAATACCGTTTTTGCTACCCATCCAGAGCTTCTCGGACGATCGTCAAACGTTATTCTTAATTTTAATTATCACTGGAACAGTATATCTCTTCCTGGTAGTTGTATTTTGTCGTTCTACTCGAAACGTCTCACTGTCATTATCACATAATGACTCTCCTATGTCCTTTACACTAATATATTATACCCCAATGTCCTATTCCCAAATGTCCCATACTCCTATGTCCCGTATTCCTATATCCTGTATTCCTATGTCCCATACTTTTATGTTTACAATCTATGTAAGTCGTCGAGGTCCCAGTTGACCGTCCGAAACACGTGAACATCAAGTGGAATACCAAAAAGTTTCAAGACGGGATAGCTACTCACCAGTGTCCCTGGTACGAAGTCTTGACGAGCCTCACGGCGAAGAGGAACTGTATAGCGCATACGAGCAGGCAACAAAGGTTCAGCGACAGAGCAAGGGCGCACAGCGCCAGCGTCACGTCGTACACGATCGTGTACTCCTCGGGGCTGATCAGGCTGCTGGGCGTCACCGTTAACGGGGAGATCTTCAGCAGGAAGATCAACGAGAGCAGCGCCAACAGAAGAGACACTAGACAGAGAAGCCCGAGACTGGTGAGGGTCTCTTTGGCGCCTGCCTCTTGGTCCTTGTGGTTCCTCGAGAGGGACGAGGACCAGGAAGCGTTCAAGGGGAACGCGGTGGAACCGCCGCCGGTAAACTGTCCACCTGCGGCCGCAGCTTGAAGAACAGGTGCCGGGGAAGGTGTCGTTTGGCTGGGTAGCCTGGACAATCTGGAGATATCGAAACCACCGTTCACTTTCGGCCTGGTGTCTTGATGCAACGGGACCTGGGCGATCACTGTGTGCCCCAATGTCGACACATTGTTATTATTGTTGTTGTTGTTGTTATTGTTATTGCCAGCGACAGGACTGACGCTGTTCACCGAATGCTTCGACGTGGACAGGGTAGACAAGTTCAACGCGTGGTTATGATTCAGCCGTTGGGACAGATTGTTCACGCTCAGCTGGGAATGGTTCAGCGGGTGTCTGTGCGTGGATGACGGTGTGGTTGCCGCCTGATGAACGTTCCCAGGCCTCTGTTGCTGCGACGAATGCAGGACCGAGTCGTAGACGTCGACGCCACCGCGTCCACCGTTTCCCGCTCGTACCGTCCCACTTTGGTTGTAGTGGTGATGCTGCGGCTGCGGCTGCTGATCCTGATGATGGCTGCCCGAGTGAAGGTGGTGATGATGTCCGCCGTGCAACGAGCCCGAGCTCGCCTGATAGTCATTGTGGTGATGCCTGGAGCCCGCTGACGACGGTTGCCCCGTCAGGATGTGCTTCAGCATTACTCGACACTGGCTGGGGGTTGCCGGGAGGAAGAAGCTTCTCCTTCCTCCTGTGCCTCTACATGGCGGCACCCCACGTTGATCCTCTTTCAGACGTTCAGAACTCGGTTCAGCACTCTCTCTGATCGAGGAAATAGTCGTCTTCGGTTAACCCCAAGCTGTTTTTCTGCTCCTCCCAATCCCTGCCTGATTCCTCGTGGATCAGAGGTGCTAACGGATCGTCTTTCTATATATTAAGTTCCTGGGCTCAAGGAGTTGCTGCACAGCAGTTCCACCATGGCGACCAGTTCTACATAACCACCTTCCAGCTCTCAGGCTTCACGTGGAACTGTTTTCGACGGTGGTTCACCGAGATGACGCTGAATAACAGAGAAGCCTCGTGTTCTCGTGATCATGATTGTTATCCAGAAACTCGTTGATTCGATTGTTCACCTCGGTTCTCTTACTTATTCCTTCCGAACCAACAGGAGGAAGTATCAGCAAGGTCAGCTGGATACGGTTGTCCAGGTCGTTAGAGGATGACACTTCGCGCCCGACATTCCAGCCGTCGTCACGCGATTTTCCGTCCTCCTCCGTGGACTCTCACCCTCGAGTCCCTCTTCCACGGGTCTCAGAAACACACGGCAACGATGTCCGACGTGGGACGCGCAGGAAGCTGCGGCATCGGTACGCGGATAATCGCGGTGTCCACGGGGCTCAAGCTTCCTCCGAGTACTACCAACGGGACTCGACTCCGTCTATTAGAGTCGATTTACGCCTTCGGGGCGAGCTGCTGCCGCCACGGGAAATACCATCGAGGAGAGAGAGGGAGAAAGAGCAAGGTCGATTAAGTCCAGTTTTTCCAGATGTCCCTTCGCCCAGACCTGGCCACTCTTCCGGCTCTCGCCTTCCCGATGGAACAATTTGCTGCAGGTGTTCCACCGACGATGATACTTGTGTGTATCCGTGTGTTTGTGTTGGTTACGTACTTCAGGAGTCGAGTTCGACGACGTGGCTCGACCGATCACGTCGAAACGAAAACAGAGGAACCGTGATCCAGGTGAGCATGATTAGATTATCCGGTTCACACTGAGATATGACCTTGTCAATGGTGAATTCCGAACGGTTCGTTAAGGCGGCTGCAGCCTCGGTCTGCCTCTGTGTCGACTTCCAGCGAACTCGTCAGCCGGCATGGCTTCCGAGATGGTCCCTCTGGAAACAGGTCCAAAGGAAATAATTAATGGACTGTGGTTCAAGCTACGCGTGGACAGACGCAAAAACGAACCCTGGACGTATAATCTACCCCGGAGACCATCTCTTCCTATTCTCCCCCAACCACCGAATTTCCATAGAGAAGCGAGGATTCGTTCAAGCTGTTATCTAGTTTGCGTTGGGAATTATATTCGATCGACTACCGGTCGATGGGACGAGGAGAATAGGTCTCGTTGCGTGGAGTAGAAATTATCATGTACCGGGTGGCGGTCAAAAACGAACTGCTACGTCGCGGATCTTTAACCCTTTCTGGTTCCTAAAATGTAAAGGGATAATCGAAGTGCGAGACAACACTTTTACTGTAAAAATAGTGTAGCATGTGTTTCATTTGCGCGTGTAATTATTTAATGTTAAGTAAATTCTTAACTAGTGCGAAGTTTTATACGCACTCTTGGCAACGGAAGGGTTAACCCTTTCATTCCGAAATTATTTAAAAATCGTCAAAGAAATATTTTATTCTATTCTTGTGTATATTAAACGGCATATGAATGATTCACAAGAACATTTTGAAAACCGTTTAATGCCATTTTTTATTCGTTGAAATTTGGCAAGTTTTTTAGTTTTATCACGGTTAATAGTTCCTATTATTATAATGTTAATATACATAATCAAAGCATCCTTCAACACATCCGAGGAGCCAAAATAATTTAATTTTATTTCTACCTTATTTTACAGTACACCCAGTATACGGCGAAGTATTTTCAAACTGAATCGCATTTTACACCTGGCAACCTATCCGTCAGGATTGCAACCGCTACTTTTACAGTCTACTTATCCGCGTCCAGCGACGTCCGTACCGTGAATTTACGATGAATTACGGTATCACGAATCCTCTATTTTCTTTCCTCCAGACAGACTGATTATCGTGGGTTAAATAACACCGTCGGCGCTAATTGCATTTGCACTGAATCCCGTCCATCCTCACATCGTTCAGCGATTCTTTACGGTAATTGTACCTACGCGTATTTCATTAAGACGTAATTCCGAAAAAGTTCCATTTTCCGATTTTCGTGAAACTTGGTACAATCGTCCCAAATACTGCTAAATAAACATGTATAACCCAATATCCCAAATACTCCTAAATGAGTATCATCGAAGATGCAGCTCTATCCACGCGAAAAATGCTAACTTAAATCAAAGTTTTGACATAGACGGAAGACATTGTGAGTTAACGAACAACCAGGAAATTACAAGGTGTACACACACGTGTCGTGGACGCATAAAGTTACGCACACGGAATTACTGTATCATAAGAATAACACTGAGGGACTCTCGGGCGTTTGCGGTGGCGGGTCACTTCCTCAGCAGTGGCCGACTGGTATATTTTCCGGTCGTTAACTTCGTCCGTAATGGGATATTAAAGAGCGGGGGACATTTAAATATACCGACGAGGGGATTCCCGTAATTTTTTTTTTCAACCGTTTATTATCAAATTACCGTGCGCGTACCGTTTCTACTATCGAAGTACAACTCGTCCCGCCTCTGTCTGTCTCTTAAAACAGGATTTATCCCGGACAACACTTCATTTCTTTATCGATCGTGTGCATTTCGCACCACCTGTGGATTTCTTATGGATTTCGTCGAGTTTTATAAAGAAAATTTTATAAAAGAGTGGGTGAATGCAATTTTTTTGTTCGACTAGCTCCTAGTCTCTTTTCCTTCGTTCGAAGCGAAGTCACGCGAGAACTTCACGATTCACGAAGAATATAACACAAAAATAAGTATAAACAACTTTTGTGCACTGTACCGAGCTGAAACACACCTGTACATTTCTTCGAGCCAGTTGTCAGAAGTAAAATCAAGTGGAATAAAGGATTCCATTCCTGATTGAACGATCGACAGTTACACGTTACGATAAATTCTCGATGAGTGTTCGAAGGCTCCTCGGCACTGTCTTGAGCTTGAAATCATGAAGTCAATGCTATTTGTTTCAGCCGCATATGGCCATTAGTTTATGAAATATTCAAAGTTCAGCGCAGAGGAACCTTCGAGCACTCATCGAGGATTTACTGTATGTCGCGATCGAGAACATCGATATTTCATCGTCGATTCGCGTGTTCGTCTTCCATGCACCGGTTCGCTACAGCCAATCGGTTTTAGACGGGAAAATAGCGGGGCGATCTCTCCCTTCGGCTCTAACGACCGAAACGAGACTCAACTCGAGCGTTGCGAAGCCCTCCGAGTGGACCGAGGGTAACGGTATTGGATCGAGCCTTGTGAAGGTATACACTTGGAAGATCCACGGTCGATCCTTCGATAGAGCGATTACACTTTCGTGGAGTGACTGAAACCGTACCGAGAAAATTTCTATGGTTCTCCAAATAACCGAGACGAATCCACCGTTTCCAGAGCTGTTGGCCGAAAGAAGGTATTCAAGATCGACAAATGGAGTTGTCAGCAGACTTATTGGATCTTTGAGATCACGCATTTTTCAGATCACGCAGATACATATGTATATGGGGAAATAAAGTATCGATAATAGAATATATCGTCACATTAAAAGTAAATTTGTTACATCGTCCATCACTACTTCAGTATTGGTCTCTAAGGCTACTAAGGGAACTCCCCCTAATAGCTTGTTAAACATGCCAGAATGTATTTGAATCTCGATCGAAAATATTGAACGTCATCCCATCGATTATTATTTCGAACGCGTCTCGATGGACTTTCAGGGTGATCCAGCGTTAATTGCACGCGAATAGGGAGCATTTAATTGCCCTGATTACATCGGTTAACGCGGCTCCGAAGGAGTAACCTTCTTATCTTCCCCCCCCCCCCAAGACTCGTTTCTCGCGGATCATCTGGCGTAAACCCCCCCCCCTTCGATCTAAACGGCCAACGAGTGGAGATCTACTCGGAGGAACAGCCGCGGCGGTTTATCCGTAATTTCATCGCTAGGTGACGGAAATTGATAGCACGACGCTGCTGACTACGGTAAGAACGATCGTAAGGCGGCGAATACGCAAAAGCGGGTATATCGTTCTTTGATGCTTAAACAACGGGGAATAGTAGTGTTATCCAGACTGATAAGACGAGGCAAGAGACTGAAACTGCGACTACTACAATTATGTACCTCGCGAGCAAACTCGGCTTCTTCTAGGGGAAAAAGAAAGGTAAGAGGAAGGGCCTCCTACCATTAGGAACTATTGAAATATATGACAAATTAACATTCGGTTTAACATTCATTTCAGTGCTTGAAATAAATTTATCAAGTGGTTCAAGGTTCATCCCCCACGACACTTTTTCCCCTAGCTAAAACCGAGTTTGCACGTCAGGGTACAGACTCCTTTCGATTATCGTCCCGAATTTCGGTCCACGCCAGGACAATAATCGCATAGGAAGAAATGCTTCAGACCCTCGTGAATTCGTTTTTCGCTCGAAGTGAAAAGGGGCTACTCGAGTCTGTAACTGGCTATTCGAATGATATCTCAAGCTATCATAGTGGTCTAACTCCAAAAAGTTTGTTCTGAGACTTTCCTTTGCATCTTACACCTGCAAAATCGAAAACGATCGTTTTCTGACTTTGAGACAAAATTACCTCTGATCGAGTCAATATTTCCCCAATTTACAATTCCGATGAATTTTTACAACGAAAACTAAAATCCACGTTTCGTTTTCGAGAAACTATTCCAAAGCCTACTGTCGCATAACGCCGATCAGTTTCCCTCCGCCTAGATCCCAGAGGTGGACGAGTCTCGTGAGCGAGTCGTATTCACCCGTTACCGGAGTAGTCTTCTCATCAAGGTCCTGCTCACGGTTTTGGATTTTCACAGGGGGTAACATGACTCGATCCCGC